ATTTTACCTTAGTACAGCTACTTACATGCCTGTTACCTACAGTACAGCGTTGTAGCTTGCCTCTGGGCTCACCATGGTATGGGACTTTGTTTTAAATTTAAAATAGACAGGAGTAACTATGACTGTCCTAAGATGGAACCATAGTTACTAAGTGGGTTTTTCTGCAGAGACATCACCTCCTTGATGCTCCTGCTGGAACCCACTTTTTGGGTGACTAAGCTTGTCCCTACCACACTGTAGTTACTCTCTCCCTGTTGACCAGCATTTATCAGCTGCTCAATAGTATGACAAGGTGATGACACTTTTAATTTCCCAAAATTACTTTTCTTTTGGGCCATAGCCCTTTGCCTTAGGCCTGTAATTTGACACCCCACTTGAAGTTGGGGGATTGATTCTTCTAGGTAAATTCAAAAACCCACAGACATGTTCACTCACCCAGTAAAGCCCTGAGTTGTGCATTTTGTGTCAGTGGCCAGATTKGGGAATTCCCCATTGATATTGCAAGATGGTATCCTGCAGTAGTAACACATGAATCTGTRGTCTGTTTAAACCAAACGCTGACTTTCTATAACTCATATTATGATGGTTGGGAAGGCATAATGCTTGGACCAACCAGTATGGATTGCAATAAAGATCTCCCAGAGGTTTATGAGGYGCCAGTCATGGGAGCTTCACCTCAGTGAGCAGTAGCGGAAACTCTCCCGGAGGAAAAGGTAAAGTGGGATGTGCCTGCATCTCGACAAGGGAAAAAGTTAGTGCGCTGCTCAATGGGGAAGGGGCCTTAGTGATGGAGGATGCCGAGAAGGCAGAGTTACTAAATGCTGCCTTTGCCTCTGTCTTTACTGCTAAGGCGACCCCCCCCTTGAACTGCAGGGTTCAAGTGGAAGAGATATAAATGAGCTAGAGGAAGACCTTCTGTGGGTTGAGAAGGACTGGGTTAGGGATCACTTAGGCAAACTGGCCACTCAAAAATCTATGGGCCCAGATGGGATGCACCCGAGAGTGCTGAGGGAACTGGCCGAGGTTATTGCTCAGCCTCTCTCCATCATCTTTGAGAGGTCCTGGAGAGCAGGGGAGGTGCCCGAGGACTGGAAGAGAGCCAACATCACTCCAGTCTACAAAAAGGGCAAGAGGGAGGAGCTGGGCAATTCCAGGCCGGTCAGCCTCACCTCTGTCCCTGGAAAGGTGATGGAGCAGTTCATCCTAGAAAGAAATCTCCAGGCATATGAAGGAGAAGGTGTTGAGGAGCAGTCAGCATGGATTCACCAAGGGGAAGTCATATCTGACGAACCTCATAGCCTTCTATGAYGGGATGACAGGCTAGCTGGATGAGGGGAGAGCCGTGGATGCTGTCTACTTTGWCTTAAGGCTTTTGACACAGTCTCCCACACTATCCTCATACAGAGGCTCCAGGAGAGTGGACTAGATGAGTGCACGGTGCGGTGGATCGAGGGCTGGCTGGATGGCATTGCTCAGAGGGTGGTGATAAATGGGGCCGAGTCCAGTTGGAGGCCTGTGGCCAGTGGTGTCCCCCAGGGGTCAGTACTGGGCCCCGTGCTGTTCAATTTGTTCATCAATGACCTGGACGAGAGCACGGAGTGCACCCTGAGCAAGTTTGCAGATGATAACAAGCTGGGTGCTCCTTGTCTAGAGGCGAACCACTGCGGCCCGAAGCCACCGAGCGAGCAAGCACAGGCAGAGAGCAGCGCGAGGCAGCCCCGGCGCCGACCCCTGAGCGGGCAGCGCGGAGCCCCSTGCCCGAGGCGGCTCTGACTCAGCGGGCCGGAGCCGGCAGYACAGGTRGGAGCTCAAAGGCCACCCCCAGGCAGCGCAAGCGACCAGGAGCCCGGCAGTTCACACAGGACGGGCGGGCGGGGAGGTCCCTCCCAGGCGAGCTAAAGAATTCTGTCCGCAGTCTCTTCCATCAGTAGGAGACCAGGGGAAACGGTGGTCTCTACTCGTCAGAGAGCTTGCACCAGGAAGGCTGTGGCGACGCAGACTGMACTGCCACAGAAGCATGCGGCAGTGCAGGTCTCAAGCTGTGAGGAGTGTCTGAGCCTCTCCTTCGTCCCAGCGAGTGGTGAAAACGCCGCCTGCCTCTGGTGTGAGCAGGTGGAGGACCTGCTTAGCCTGGTGGTAGAGCTGAAGGAGGAGGTGGAAAGGCTCAGGGCCATCAGGGAATGTGAAAGAGAAATAGACTAGYGGAGCTGCGTTCTGCAGCCCTCCCAGGAAAGGCACCCAGAGAACCCCCCAGTTCAGTCTGGAAAGCCAGCACCCTCTTGCCACAGGGCGGAGGGAAGAGAATTAACAGTATCCAAGGATGAACAACAATGGAAAAAGATCCCTGTTCGGGGTGGCAGGACAACCCTTCCCCAGCCCACCTCACCCCGCCAGTCACCATATCCAACAGGTATGAGATCCTGGAGCTTGAGGAGCAGTTAGATGAGGATGCCAACCAAGGCCCATCCAGGGGACAGTCTKCAGAGAGAGCATCAGCTCCACACCCTGAGGCTGCTCCCCCGAAGGAAAAAAGGAGCACCCGGAAGAAGCAGCGGGTGATTGTTGTGGGTGACTCGTTGCTGCAGGGCACGGAGGCACCCATCTGCAGACCCGACCCCTTATCCAGGGAGGTCTACTGCTTGCTGGGGGCTCAAATAAGGGATGTCACACAGAGGCTCCTTTGGATGGTCCGAAACACTGACTATTATTCCCTGCTGCTGTTTCATGTGGGTGCTAATGATGCCATGGGGAAACTCTCCAAAATCAAGAAATATCACAGAGCCCTAGCGGTGGCAGTAAAAGAGATGGGAGCCAGGTAGTGTTCTCCTCCCTCCTCCCAATGAGGGTAATGGATTCAAGTTGGAGAAAATGGATATTTGACATCAACAACTGGCTGCGCCGCTGGT